GTGACACACCTTCCTGACACATGATTCCCTCTATTATTTGATTCTACCGATCTATCACTTCTTGTTAGGCAGTGATCTAGTGCAGATGTTTTTTATTATTCTCTCTTTGCATTTTCTTTAAACTTTCTGTGAAGTAGATTTCAATCTATTATTTTGCTATAGTTTTCTATAATATTGATGGTATAATTTATTTTTGTTCATTTTTTTCTTTTGAATTCTTCATCATATATATGATGAATTCTGAAATTCATGTCCCCACTTCAGATTTTTTTCCAATACATTTGTGCAAGTTTCAGGTTGGGGGACTTTGACTAAGGAATTCTCAGCTATAATTCTTTGGGAGCTTGATCAATATATGAATCTGCCAAACCTTTTCATGACGAGGAGGATTTTGACAGTCGTTTTCCTCCACCTAACTATGTCGTGCCTTCCCAAGTCTCTCCTAAAGAATCTGTGAGGCCTAACTCAGGCTTTTTTTAAATATGATTTCTTAGGTGTGTTCCATTTTATCCATTTCCTCGATTTCTTATGATCCTGTTCCTTCCTTATTACATGACATCCCTTCTTCATAGTATTTTGTTTTCTCTCTTTTTCCTGACATCAGAGTTCATGCTGAGCATTCTGTTTCTTATATTGAATCAGTGCTAGAATGCCTCATTCTCAGCAGTTGAAGTCACTTTTGCCTGTATTGGGGGCTGACCTTGAAAATTCTCCTTTTATTCCATGTACAGTTTTCCTGCCTTTGTCTTACCCTTACTGCTCTCCTATGGTACTTGTACTCCATACATCTCCTTTCTGAGGCACTCTGCCGATCTCCTAGGGGTTTTCAGGGATACTGTTCTCTCATTACTTCCACATTTGTGCAATTGTCCCCTTCAGCTCTATCTATTCACATGTGGTTTTTTTGCTGTTCAAATCTTATTAGGAGGGATGCTGTCTTATCACAGTGGTGTGCTTTTTCTCCAGGACTGGATGACCAAAATAAATGTCTTGAATGCTTATATCCATATTCCTGTTTCTCATCAGTCCAGATGCTGTCTTTGGTCTATCCACCATGAGTTTGTGTATCAGTTTCTTGCCTTACCCTTTGGACTTACTTCACCTCCGCATGTTTTTTGTAGGGTGGTCAAAGCATTTGCCGAACTTCTGCATGCTTGGGGGTTGCATTTACACCACTACATGGATGACTGGCTTCTGTTAACTCATTCTAAAGTGGAATCTTCACAACACATGCTTCTGCTTCTGACAGAAACAGCTTGAGTAGCTGGATTCTCAAGTTGGAGAAGTCTTTCCTATTACTTACCCAATATCTTATCCACTTCTGTGTCTCTTTCAACACCCAACTCATTCGGGCCTAAACTTCCTCCCTTTGACTCCGTTCAATGGAGCTTTCAGTTCTCCACACCCTTGCTGCTTCCTCTTTTTCTGCTTGGGAGGTTCTATTACTTTTGGGGACTTGGGCTTCTATGGAAGCACTTATCCTCTTGGGTCGGGCACATATGCTGTCTCTTCAGTGGACTCTGCACTACCAATGTAATCTTGCTTAGGATCCCTTGGACTTTCTAATTACTCCTCCTCCTCCTCCTTTTAGATGATTTGCATTGGTGGTTGAATAGGGACAACACAATGATGGGTGTACTGCTTCCTCCACCTTGTCCTCATTGGCTTCTATTCACAGGTGCTTCTCTCCATGGTTGGGGGGCATTCAGCAGGAGGCTTCCGGACTCTGGTTTCTGGCCAAGAGGTCTTACCATATCAATATCTTGGAGCTTCTGGTGGTACAGTGTGCTTTGGATCACTCTCTTCCTATTGTACAAAATAAACTAGTCATGATCCATTCAGACTATTCTACAATGGTGGCTTGTATCAATCACCAAGTGGGCATCTGTTTCCTTTATATTCAAACCTTGGAATTCCTCTTTAGGACTCACATGCTGGAGATATATCTCCTTGTGTGTCATATTCCAGGAGCTTTCAACTTTGTGGTGGATTACCTTTCTTGACCAGACAAAGTTTATCCCACATATCTCTCGACCCTCAGGTTTTCCAGTGGCTTTGCAGTCAGTGGGGTACTCCTTATCTAGTTGCATTTGCCACTTGCCTCAATACCAAGTTGCCTCTATTTTTGGTCTCCTGTTCCTCATTCTCAAGCATTAGCTGTGGATACTCTCTGCCAGAATTGGACCAACCAGTACGTTTATATTTTTCCTCCCATTTGATGCCTTCCCAGGTTGCATTCAATCATTCATGCCACTCTGTGTCAGGTCCTTCTGATTGATCCTTACTGGCTGGCACAACTGTGATTTCTGTGACTCCTTCAGCTCCAAACCACCCCTCTGTTGCCTCTTCCTTTCATTCCATCTCTACTAGGTCAACCTTGGTCATTGGTTCTTCATCCCACCCTTCCTACCTTCCATCTTCACAACTGCCATTTATCAGGTCCCTTGCAAGGAGATCTGGATTGTCTAGGCATGTCACTTCCTTTTTAGCACAGTCCATTCATCTTTCCTCTGTGGAGGTTTATTACCATAAATTGAACTTCTTTTGCCATTTGTATTTGTTTTGGTGTTTTTCTCCTTCTCAGCCCATTCTTCCTCATTTTATGGATTTCCTCACATGAGAATTCTGTCTCTTCCATAGCTGGTTATTTATTTGTCATGCCTTAGCCACTCTGCATCTTGGAGGACATCCATTTCAGCTTTCCCCACATTCCTGTTTGTAGATGGTTTTTTTCCAGTACCGTTTGATGTTTTCCTCTCCTACCCTCTACCTTTTATTGCGTTACATCCAGATTCATAGACCTGCTCTTCAGGCGGTCCTCCTGAATCGTAATGTCAGTATTGTTCTTCACTGCCTACTCTACCTCCGTTTGAACCTTTGTCCTCATGTACCTTGTTTCACTTATTCCTTATTATTTATTTCTTGCTTCTTTTAGCGTGTGGGCATCATTAGTCTGATATATTTGCCATCGACTTTTCACACACACTGTACCTTTCCACAGATGTTTTCCTTTATGTGGATCAGTCTTTCCTCCCCAAAACTTTGGTGGCTTATGAGGTACATTCTTTTTTCATGCCGATTTCACTTCCATACATATCCCACCTTTATTCCCAGTTGGAACTGGATATACTTCTATGTCCTGTATGTGCTCTTCATTCTTACAGTGCCTACATGGTGACCTTCTGTGGGTTCTGTTCCCACCTTTTCATCTCTTGACAACAATCCTCTGTTTTGACTTTTCTGCTGCTACCCTTACCAATTGGGTTTTCCAGTTGATTCACCAGTCCCCCTGCCTATTTAATGTGGGATTCTAGCTATACATGTGAGAGGAGGTAAAGTACAATATTGGAAGTTATTATTTTCGTATACTGAAAATATATTTCTGATAGGTATCTACCTCTTTTCACCCTTCCTCCCATCTGAAAATCAGTGCTACCTTTTCTGCCTAATCTCAAAGTGATAATTCGGATGCTTTTGACAGATACTTCTTTCTATCCATCACACCAGTCCATCTGCCTATTCAGTGTGGGATTCTAGCTATACCATGTGAGTGGAGGTAATGTACCGCATCAGATGTTATTATTTTCCTGTACTGAAAATATATTTCTGATAGGTACTTACCTCTTTTCACACTTTCCACCCTTCCTTCCCACCAAGAATCAGTGCTTCCTTTTCTGCCTAATCTCAAGGTGATTGTTCAGTAGAATCAAATAGAGGGAGTCAAATGTGTCAGGAGTTTGCATCACATTTCTGTTGGTGGAGGGTTGTTGCATGATGATTTGCTTGTGAGACACAGTTGAACCACATTGATGTGAGGTATGTGGAAGTTCAAGGCTTGTGGCATGTGAAAAAAATTTGCATATAGGGGACAGCTCTAAATGAGAATAGCTATACATGTGAGATGAGTAAGTACTTATCCAAAATATATATATATATTCAGTTTTGGAATGTGATAACATTAGCAAAGTGGGAAACACAAACATATTTATTATTATTATTATAAGCTAAACTAAATGTTACTGAACTGGGAAACAAACAATATTAATTATTATCATTATTGTAATAATATTTGGTTTTTAACTCTTGAATTTCATTTAATTTCATAAAAACTTTTTGTACAATATAAGACATTTTCTAATATTAAACTTGTTTTTAGGCACCAAAAGTAAAATAAAAATTTAATCTATTCAGGTAAC